TTCATTATTCATTTCATCATACAAAGGCAAGCCATTGTTGCTCGAAAAATCATAACAAAACAAGCACAGTGCCATTTATCATGATAATCGATTTGCCCTTAACTCATGCCAAATCTTGTCATAAACTTCTCTCAATTTTCATTAGATACATATAGGCACATGATCACAGATTTTTCTATGAAAATCAGGAAGATTTGGGGCTTACTCAGGTCATGCAAAGACAAGCTATGTTGCTGGAAAATCACAGTGTAACAGTGTGCATAAACTTTCATTACACATGCTCATTTTATGTGTAAGACAGTCTAAAGAATTAGCCGATCCCAAATAGTTGGGAAAAGGCTCTCACGATGATGTTGAGTACAGTCTAACAAGTAACGACTAAAAAGAGTTCGAGATGAAATTTCGGAATTTTTTTTCATAGTTCTGACAAGTCTAAAATTCAATATTAAATAATGACTGAAATTGATCAAATTCCTTCTGAGATAAACAAAACACTCAATTTCAGTACGAGAAATCATAATGCAGTAATGAAGAATCAGTGTAAAACCACTAGAATCATGGATTAAACATGAGTACATGAAACTAAGAACTAATATCACAACCAAGAGAGCTATTCCACCACAAAAAGAGGAAAAAAAAAAAGCAGAAATGTAGCATAAGCTAAGAAACAAGCTTAAATTTCGCGTAATGACTCGAACATACCGATAAAACCCTAGAAATTTCCAATGTTTAATCTCAAATAAAAGCTTAAAAATCAATTAATTGATCAGAGAGAATCTCAGAACGCCCTAGAAATGGTTAGGGAGAAGCCCTAGATATAGTTTTGGTTTTCATGTTCAGATCTAGGAGATCCGAGCTCAATCCAAGTTTTCGAGAGATGAAATTTACAGGAGTAGGCTCTTTGGTACTGGTTAAAATTATGCTTTTGTAAAAAAAATCTACTTCTATTTTAGCCTTATTTTTTTTTGTTAAAAAGGAAACGAGAAGGGAGCTGTAAAATAGTTCTCAATTTCTCATTCTCACAAAATTCAAAAGAAACAGGTATGTGTGTGATTAGAAGTTAACCATGGATTGTCATTAGTCATGGGCGTAGTCACATCACTGATGAATTAAATAAATATTAGAGCTTTTTTTTGTTTTTTGTTTTTTTTTCTTTTTCATTTTGTTTTCTTTGTATTAAGGGCACGATTTCTATGAGATTATGTAGAAATGAGTCACATCTTAAAAATTTATTTTTGAGATGGGTTTTTGGACATAATTTTTAAGGACATGTAATCTCTAACATGGAGATCATGAATATAATTTTACTAAGAAAACATTTGAACCGTTAGTTTCATTTGTTTTTAGATGGACCACCTATTTGCATCCATCTTTAAGACGGTTGCTTTATATCTTGGGATTGCATACTGTACAAATGCGATCTTGTGCTCATATCTCAAGATTAACCGGTAACCCAATAAGGCCACCCAATTTTGAAACAAAGTGCTATGTAGCTCTCTGGTCGAGGAACTATCTTTTACTCTGCAGGAAAAAAGTCGTTGGAGGTCTCTTCCCTACATGAGCAGGCTAGAAAAACCAAAGAAACTCTCTCTTTCTCTCTCTCCACAAGCATCTCTCTTTTTTTATCGATTTTACCAATTTTAAAAAAAGAAAAACCTCAAAAAAAACCCTTCATAAAAGCCCTTCAAGTACAATCAATTTACCATTTGCATGAACAGTTTCACAAAGGGCATACTGAAGTTTATGTATTGATAGATTCATAGAACATTAAACATTCATAATTTACCAAGGAAATTCACATCCAATACACAAAAGCTACATCAGTAAATTCATCATAGAAGCACTCACATAAGATTTCAAAACCAACCCAATTTCAATTTCACAATACTTCAATTTCACCAGCACACACATGCGTGTGTGATGTAAGAAAGAGACAACATGGTTATTTCTAGGCATTGAACAAATTCTATATTATACGCATTAATCAACAGCCATGGAAAGAGAAGCCCAAAGTACAACAACATTCGATAAATGAAAAAAAAATCAAATGATCAATGATCAAATAACATGACCCCAAATAATCGAATAGAACCACTAAGTTCCAGCAAACATTAGGGTGATGAATGGATGATTAGGAGCAAAGAATAATCACCATTCATGAGATATCTTCTCTACCCAACTAGCATTTACATTTAAGAGATAAAATCAAGTTTATGACAAACATAAGTTACATTTAGTCAAGAAACTCGGGATGGAAACAATTTATCAGTACCACAAAGATAATCTGAAAAATTCTAAAATTTCATCTAACAAGTAATGATAAAAACGAAACAAGTTATAATTATAGTTAAGCCTCTTCAAGCAATGCGAACTAAGCACCTCAAATGTTATTACGTAATATGTCTGCCACTTAAGTCATTTGTCAAAGAAATGCAAATAATGACCCACATGAATTGGTTAAAGTTTCCCATATCTACACAGATTTTCCCACTGGTAAAAAATAACAATTCTAAAAACATGAGAAAATGATTCTTCAGGTTGCAATTATAGCATACAAGAACCTCCTGGCAGCCAAGAAACATAAATACATAATAGCTCCATATCGCTGAATTTCTACCACAAAATATAAAAAAGGGTCATTAATTCCTACAAGTCAAGTTTTTGAAGTTCTAAATAAAACTAGAGAAGCCTGATGAAATTTGTTTGTTTGATGGTGAAGACTCGTGAAAATGAAACATTTAGGCAAGTTTCCCCGAATTTTTTTACCAAAAGCCAGATAAAATGGATGAGTTGAGACGAGGTGTATTGTTTGCAAAAAAACTTGATGGGTCCTAAAAGTTCCACAACATCATACGATCCATGTAGCATAAAACTGGAAAAAAATGGACAGAATCGAAAAATAAATAAAGTTCCTCAATAAGAACATAAAATTTGCAAAGACAGACTAAAATGTTCCAAGGAACCTGCAAGTCCCACATTGATTTGATTCTAAGTAGGGAATAGATAAAATGGGTCTTAGGGGGAAAAAAAAACTTTTAAAGATAATATTTGGAAAGAAGTCTTAAAAACCCTGAAACTTTTTGGAAATAAGCCTTAAAACCCGATAAAATTAATGGAAAAAATTGCTGAAAATACATTTTTTTTCTATGTTTGTCATCTGAAATATATGCGATGGGCACAATCAACTCCCTATAACTCAAGTTCTCTAAGTTTCTAATCTAATCACAGTGAAATAGAAGCAAACAAAAAGTATGTTTCCCAACCAAGATCTTTTACCGTAGAAGGTATGGCTTAGTAGTTGCAGAATAGGCAAATCGTATCGAAAAAAGAAACCCCAATCCAACAAAATGGAAGAAACAAAGCCATAAATAGAATTCTTCTTAATCAAGCTCTTTACAACAACTAGCGTCCCAAGAATTGTAGATGCAGAAGGCATAATATTTTGAAACCAAAAGAAAAAAGAAAGAAAAGAATAACAAGAACCAAATTCAAGAACATGCTAACTTTCTCACAAAAAAGAACCAAATGCAAGAGAACAAATACACAAGAAACACTTTTTCATACAAGCTCTGCAATATAATGCCCCTACACTTGTAGAATTGGAAGTAGAAGCTACATAAAAAATAGAAAAAACTAAAACCAATAGTGAATTGCAAGATATACGAACCCGCAAAAAGCTTTTTTTATTTTTTGTTTTTAAATCAAGCTCTGCATTGTCAAAAGTTCCTAGGAGTTGCAAATGAAATTGAGAAGAACCTAGACTAAATAATAATAACGATAACCCTAAAAATAAAGAACAAGAAAGAAGTAAATGAATCCATGAAAATAATTCTTCTTAATCAAGCTTTGCAATTGCAAAAACTATGGGCCAAGCATATGGAAAATGAGAAACTAGAAGATGCACAGACAAGAAAAACCCTAGAACTAAAAAAAGGCGGTACTTGCTAAAATTTGGTAGAGAGAAAGATCAGAGATCCACCATGAAAACACATACACACACTCTCTCTCTTTCTCTCTTTAAAGCACTCACTTTCAAAAGCACTCTTTCTCTCTCTAAAGCACTCACTCACTTTCAACAGTGTTTGTATAACGTTAGGTGCACAGGGCATTTCATAAGCAAGTAAAATCCATTACCCATTTTCAAACAGTGAAAAAAAAACAGAGAGAAATACAAAGGAAAAAAAATTAAAGAGACCCAAATTGAGAGTCAACAGAGAAAGAAAACCCCACAAAAAAACTTGTACCCTAAAATCATAGGGTATAATAACTCTAAGCTTCAAGAGCTCAAGAACAAACACAGAAATCAATAATATAGTCATTTGCTTTAAGAGCTCAAGAACAAACACAATGATCATTAACAGAGAGCATAAAGTGTATACCTCAAGATCAATGGCAAGGATCATAGGTTTGTTTGAGATAATGGCGTGCTGGGCTGGCTCAACAGCGAGATGTGAAGTTGCGAAAAGAGGGGTGCTCAACGGGGTGGGTGCTCAGCGGCGCAGAGAGGAGTGCTTAGTGGGGTGGGTGCTCAGCGGGGGGATGTGCTAAGAGATTATCGAAGGGGAGGAGTGCTCTAGGTTATCGAATGGGGAGGAAGTTTAGAGCTTCCTATTTGAGGTTCCAACTTTTGGATCACAACTTTTTTTACACGGGGGTGTGCGAAGATGAAAACTTTTAATTTGGGGTTCTCATTTTTATCAAACACGAAAAGTTGAGAAGTTCTCAACTTCGAAGCCACTTTCTATTATCAAATACGCCCCTAGTGAAATTTTTTAGGTAGACTTAAATTTGATTGGATAGAGCCTTGGATCTATATAAACTTTTTCCATTCCATATTATCTAATGTACTAAGATGCTAATAGCTTTTACGGTATTTAAAGAACCGTAATTTTATTTATTTATTTATTTATTTTTGTGGAGACGAAAATTAATGCACATTTGTAATAATTTTCATATTAAAAATAAAGACATTAGATTTACCTCTGCGCTCTCTCTCTCGACTTGGATCCGGCTGAATCCAGCCAGTCAAAACTCAATAGCTTCGTGGGGGAGATTTACCTCTGCGCGCAAAAGATATTTCTCTCTCTCTCTCTCTCTCTCTCTCTCTTCCTTGGACTTTCTACAGCTCAGGAAGCAGTCAAAAGACTGAAATACTTCTAAAGGGTTGATTTGCCTCTTCTCATAGCAACTTGCATTTGAGTCTTTTGGGCCTTTCTCTCTCTTCTCTCTCTGACTTTCTCTCTGGAGGATGGACGCTCTGAGGAAGCAAGCGAGCAAATTCAGGGAGCAGGTGGCAAAGCAGCAACAGGTGACAACTTTTAGATCTTCTAACTCACCGCTCTCCTCTTCGCCTTTTCAATAGTAGTTGAATCATTTGGCGCTCTTGTTAAATATGTCTATTCCATTTTGTATACAATTTATAAATCACCATGATTTAGTGTGAATTTAACAGCTACTGCTTAATTTGGGGAATCATGCTTAACTAGTAGATCAAGTTTTCTTCCAATGTTTGATTTTTTTTTTTTTGCTGGTTAAGTATTCGTTAGCTAGAAAATAAATGAACGTATATGAAAAATGACTTGATTTGGGGATAAATGAGTGAGTGAAGATGCAGACTGTACATTAAATCAGTATAATCCCTTAGAATAGGTGTTCTGATGTGTCATGAAAATTCTTTGGGGTGCACGAACCACAATCAGATCGATTACTGGTTGTCATGTTTTGCGAGAGAAGAAAATCGAGGACTCCTTTGTCGATCCCGTCTGGGGTTGAGGAATTCGTGATTCAAAGAAAGTTTAGGTTTTTTGTCTACATGGAATGAGCTTGATAGAAATTTTAAAAACAAATTATACAAAGACTTCTACAAGTGATTTTGTATGATTTTCTGATGATGATGCACCATCATTTTGCTTTGATATTAATAAATCCATTGATATAATTGATTTGCTATTTATCCAATTTCCATTCAATAAATGAATTACATAGAGGATATTAGCCGTCTGGAAATTTTTAACAGTACTATTGGATTTTCACTAATTTCCTGGACTCTATAGACACACATACATAAATACATAATGTATGTATGTATGTATATATATGATTTCATGAAAAATGTTCCTGTTGGTTATTGTGCTGTGGGCTATTTATTGTGAGCTTTATCCATTCTATCTACCAGCCATAAATACTGAAACACATGTAGAAGACTTTATTTGTTTATTTTGCAAGATATTGTGGTTATGTTAGATATGGCTGCTTGCATTTCAATGTGCTACTCTTAGATTTTAGGCTTTCTAGTCGTTGGAAAACTTTGTTTCTAGCTTGCCTCACTCCAATTGAGGATGAAGGTCGACTTGTTGTGATACCAAAGGTTGCATTAGTCAGACGCTCTTGTGCATCTTTACTCATTGGTTCACTAGTCATAGAAAGTGTCATAGTCTCATGATTTTTGCTGGATTTATTATTTGGTAACATGATATAGGAGCCATTTCTTAGCTCTGTAAAAAGACTGAGCATATTTATATCCTTTCAACCGTATAGGTTTTAATAATACATTGATCTGTATTAGGTGCTGAAATGTTTGTCGTATTTCTTTGGGCAAAGCATGCATGATGCTATTTGAAACCATGTCCAACAAACTACAGCTTGTAAACAAAATTTTTCAATGAAAATTTGAAGTTGGAGCTGCTCTGTGCTTATCTTTGAGTAACTTTTGTTTTTCCTCGAAGTCTTACAGCCTATCTGAAGCAGGCATAGACCTGTGAAGCTATCAATGAGATGCATCTATTGATTGTTTGAGTTAACAATGGTTTCCATGAACGTTGTTCTTGATATTAGACTTCAATTTTCCCGGCTTGTGACACTGTTACCAGAGTATTTTCTGGTTTATTTTGTGAAAATTGCTAAGGAAGATAACTTGGCTCTTTGCCAAGTGATTCCTATGTGTTCTTCTAATATCAAATTCATTGAACCAGATTTGTTACTAGCTTCTATACATGTGGCATCTAGCCCTATTATACATCACATGTCAATGAGTTCTACCTCTAGGTACATTATACATTATCTCAATGATGCTTTAAACGAAGTTTGAAAGGCAGTCTTGGTTTTTCTGGTTTTGGTGGAGTTACTAGAGGAGTGCTTTGGTGTACATGTTCGGAATGCTGTGACATGTGTGGGGTGTCATGCTTGGAAGCATGTATGCATGTGCATTTAAGCATATGCTCAGGCTGTCCTGCATACAAGGGGCACCCTTGTTGTCGTCTTGCAAGGTGGTAACCCATGTCTACATTACCTTTGTAGTATAGTCAAAGGAGAAGGTTCCCTATCTGTATGGGCTCCAAAAAATTGCATAAAGTCACTCATTTTGGGTGATAGATATGTTTTTGTATTTTGCTGTTAGCCTATGTGATGTTGTCTGCTGGGGCTTTTGCTTTAGAACTGTTAGGATCCTGATGCTGGAAAATTTGAGGGAACAGTAAAATCAGCAAGAAACAAAGAAATGAAGCTAAACGCAAGCATAATTCAAAAGAAACCTTCTCCATACCCCAAATAGGGTTCCAAAAGCATAAGCTCTTCTCCTTTTCAATTTCAAAAAATCATGTGGAATTGTCCCCCACATGGTCCTACACACCTCTTATATATTATAATTTAATGTTCCACGTAAACAAAAAGCGTCCAAACAAATAATACATTGACCCATATATCCTAACTTAAACATAAATTTTGTAATGACAATTCTACATCCTGTTGATTTTTGATACAATATGTGTCAAAATCAAGAATTTCATCCTCCAAATTCGAATACCCTAAAGTGATGTTCCCCACATCTAGGTCTTCTATTACTATCCTCATCACTCTACTCCCCACACGGAGTATAAAAGTGAAAAAGCTTGTACCCGAGATCCTCTTGGGTTGACAGATCAACGTCTTGCGCATTATTGAGGCTTGCAAATTGCTGCACCAGCTTCTATACTTGCTTTTCAAGTTCTTCAATTCTGTCATCTGTGTGATCACGGATTGGATCCACAAAAATCCCCCATCTGCGGCTCCTTCTCGCTGTCATGGGTTCGTTGAAATCACAAACCTTAAGTAAATAATCAAAAAAAAATATTGCTCAGCAAGATCAAGGTTGTTTTGGCAAAACTTTAGCTAAAATCAGCAAATCCTAGACCCCCACAGTGCTACAATACAATACTTTTCGTATAGATTGCTGGCTCTGATACCAATTTGATACAGAAAAATTTGAGGGAACAGTAAAAAATAGCAAGAAACAAAGCTAAACACAAACATAATTCAAAGAAACATAGGGTTTCTTCTCCATACCCAATCCAAAAGCCCAAGCTTTTCTCTTTTTCAATTTCTAAAAATCCTGTGGAATTGTCCTCCCCAAGGCCTCACACACCTCTTATATATTATAATTTAATGTTCCCTGTAAACAAAAAGTGTTTAAACCAATAATACAATAACTTAAACATAAATTTTATATTGACAGTTTTACCACTGTGAATAGTACCCATGAACAGTACTCGTGAATAGTACTTATGAAGTAAATAAAATAAAATAAAGACCCTAGATTCCCTAAAAAACTGAAAAAACCCTAGAAATAAACCCTAAAACTAAACTATAATATCTATCCTTTAAAGTTGAGTAACAATAAAAATAAGAATAATTTTGCTCTCCATCAGATCCTCTGAATGTGCTTTTTAGATATAAAAGAATTTGGGCATTGGTGATCTCTTCCATTTTTCTTCCTTGTAGTTTTGGTGGTTGTAGTTTGGTATGAAGTTAACTTCATTTCCGTTTACCATGGTCTTTACCTTGTTTTCTCGACTTTCAGGCTGTAATTAAACAATTTACTTCGAGTGGCTATGAAAGCTCTGATGTAATGGTTACGGATGAGGCGGAATTGCAGAGACATCAACAGCTGGAGAAGTTGTATAGCTCCACTCGAACTGGCAAGGTAGATATGGTTTTCTCTTTTTCTGCATCCATTGTAAATAACATTACCTTTATACTAGTTGAGTTATATGAACTACTATTTCTTTAATTGGGAGATTTTTGTCTAGTCATCAATGAGCAATGCAACTTAAATACGAAAGCAATGTGATCACTCTCCAGAGAAAGAAGCTTAATTTGTTATGGATAAAATGATATGGTCCGAGAAGTTGTTGTTGTTCCTTTATAACAGTCCATCCATGACAAGTGTTGATTAAACTTCTAGTGGTCTAGGTCGGAGCTATGTGACAGAGGCAAACTGTAGTATTCCTTTTGTCATTCACATTCATGTAATATGCACTGCATGAAAGCACGATCTAAGTTGTCTGTATTTAGATACCTATGCTAAATGTTTTTTTCAGGGTAGTTTTTCTGTACTATGCGTAACAGTCAAAATTTGTTGCATATTTCTCTGGGTTAAGCAGTAAATTGCATTCATCTATTAAGGGCAAACGATATTCTATTGCAGTGGATTACTGTAGTTTGAGATGGTTATTTCAATGAATAATTTGATAGGGGCGACGACAACCACACTATCGTTGTACTTGATTCTGTTATTTTCTAATATAGTGTGATATTCCCACATCTTAGCAACTGAGCATATGCTTTTCTTTGAAAGAGTTTGGGGTTGGGGCACAATGACTTGTTTTATGGATGACTATCTCCATTGTGCTTCATCTATTTGCATTTGCGCCTATTTTCGACAGGAGTCCAAATAAGGAAATCTCTGGAAGGCAGGATGACATTCTTGACTTGCATAGAGTATTCTAGAATTATGTGCAATGATTACGAAATGTGAAGAATCTTGGAGAGGCACGTGCAATCTTTATTAGGTATGCCGATTATTCTGGATTTCCTAGGGAGGTTTTATTTTTTAAGAGAAGGGCAGAGAATTTTTAGAGACGTCTATAGAAGTTCTAGAGAAGTCTAAAGCATCCTTATATATATCTACATAGGAGTTCTGTAAAAGAACTCATGATCAGTTGGTGATTCATAAAGGGTTATAATCAAAGGGCCTTAGCATTTACAAGATGGTGAATGTCGTGAGTAATCGTCTGTCAAATGATTATAATTGGTGAAATCCTTCCTCAAATGATTATAATCATTGAATCTCCCACAAAGTAGATTTCCTATTGTTGCCTCTGTGTTGTGGCAGTGTGTGAGAACAAGTAGTGCTGATAAGTCTCCATGTGAGATGTATGCAGTGTTAGGCAGCAAGACCCCAAACATGTGATTACTTGTTCGAAGGCTTACTTGACTTGGTAAGCCGTTGCTAAATAGGTGCTGCACAGATGCGTGTAGAAAGGGAAAGACGTAGTAAACTACTTTGATTTCTCATGTGAGGAGCAAGTTTTGTGCTTGCGACGAAAGCAAGCTCTGAAACTGGCTCGTGGAAGAACCTGTCAAATGTCAAGTACAAGAAGAATGATATTAGGAGTATTGGAAGTGGTGGGAATTAGTCATTTGTCTTGTATAAGGTGTGAGTACTCCTGAAAGATCATCAAACAAAAAGGAATAGTTCACATAAGAAGCAGTGGTAGAGAATTTGCTGAAGTTATTGGAACTAGATCAAGTCTTTCAATGAGAGAGTTGTGCTCATTGGTTGACGAGGTTGAACTCTTAATCTAGTCTTTCAATGAGAGAGTTGTGCTCATTGGTTGAGGAGGTTGAACTCCTAGAAATAACAAGAATAGCAGCGTACTGGCAGTCAAGCAACAAATAAGGGAGCTCACTACTGTAGAGCCTTAAGAGAGTTGACATTAAAGTAGAGAAGAGAACAGTTTGGTAGGGTCTAGAGAGAGAAAGAGAAAGAGATGAAAGAAAATAAAGTTGATGATGATGAAGAAGGGAGAGAGAGAGAGAGAGAGAGAGAGAGAGAGAGAGAGAGAGAGAGAGAGGAGTAGTAGTAGTGTAGTACGTGTGTACTACTACTACCTACTACTACTAAGTAATAACACTAACTATAACTACGTACGTACTATATCGTACTATATAGT